CCACTTTGTAAAGTATTGATAGATTACTTTTTCATTTGAGGCGGCTTCTCTCTGACACCTAATCTGATCTGATTTGGATCCGTGTGTCTTTACAACCAGTTGGCATGTATGTAGTGACCATATGCACTATAGCATTAGCAATAAATCTATCTTGCAGTAGAAAACTGTCGTCAGGACAGCAAGAGAAATAATTGCCAGATTCTGTTGAGTACAGTCATCTTTATACTAATTTCTTCGAGAGGGGCCAAGCAAAGGGACCTCTAGGCTGTGCCCACGCCACCTCAGTCAGCACCACTGTGAAACGTGAGTTCCCTCTTGCTCCCTCCTCCACACACCTACTGCACATGCCTTCTTAAAGGAGTGGGCCACTAATTGCAGCTGCAATCACACAGGGCGCAGGTTTGCCAGTTTTGTTACTAATTAACCACACCTAGAGCATTTCTGCCCCAGCACAGGGCTTGCTTCAGTGTAAATCGTTTTTGTAAGAGAGAAGATTGACATAAAGATGAGATGAAGGATATTCTTAACTCTTTTTTTCTCTCTTGAGGCCCATTGTGATAGATTGTGTTCTTTTCTAAACCTTTGTGCCCAAGTTGGAGAAAAATTGGCATATTTGTCCCTGATGCTAAAGTTTCTTCCTAAAGATGTTTGCTTTCCTGTAATTCATCAGTATCTGGAGTTTTTAGCAGTGGATTTAAATATGCAGAACTCTCCACATGGTTTTGGGCTGGGGTTATAATAGCTTCTTGGCTCCTTTAGTGAGTAAATGTGATGAAAGAGCAGCCTGAGCTCTAACAGTAGGAATCCTGGTTGGTAGTATTTACTTTATCACCTTAGCCTTAAGGAATGCACAGGCTAGTACTTAGGCCAATTACCACTAGCCTGCCTCACAGGTATTTCAAAACGTGTATTTAGATTGATTAGAAAAATCACTCTAGTCCTGTCAAAGCATTGCTCCTCTAACCTTCAGTTCCCAATCTCCAAACTAATGTAAAATTTTAGGAATTTGGACTATTTGGTATGCTAGATGAATTGGTAGAAAATCATAGAATATTTCTAGTGGTAGTTTTATAGTTTAAAATAGAGACAGTAAATTGGAAGCTAATTTACAGACCCTAATGAAGAGGTCTGTAGAGAACTTTACAGATGATAAGAGGCATTTACAGCTGGCTTGTCTATTTTTATAAATCCCATTTCTTCACTCTTGGGATTGAGGTGAGGGAGGGGCAGTTTGAAACATTATAGAAATCATATCACCATTAACTTTTGTTGTCATGGAAGGTGGGAAATACTGCGTTTCTGACATTTTATCTGGCATTTAATTATTTACCTTTTTGTGCTTTACCAAAACTTAGGTGGAGAAGCTAGTGATTTGAATCATGACCTGTGAAGAAAACTAGAATACATTTCTGGCATCTGACCTTGGAAGGGTGAGGGGGCATTTGAATTGGAAATGGACAGAGGGGCTATATTTATTGGGACTATGGATTTTATGAATGGAAGGCTGGCCAGCCTGTCTGGATAGGGTACTGTGAGGATGGTGATGGCACAGTTTTTATGTGTGTTGTCTCAATAATATAACTGGAAAAACCTGTCTGAATGTTGTGTAGGCAATATGCCTTAGGAAATGTATTCTGCTACTAGGAACCTCTAAAATGAAGAGTTGAGCAAAGATTGGACACTGAGGCTAATTGCCCTTTTAATCAGTTGGGGTTTTTTTCAAAATCCAAGGGTGGTTAACATTGGCTTGTGTGGCAGCTGCTATCTTCTCCTTAAAATGAATGCTATGATGGCCAACGAGCAGAGAAACACAAACATGAGCTCTAGAGTGAGCCTCCATTCTCAGGTTTGCTCTTCTGAAGGACTTTCTTTTAAATTAAAGAAAAAATTTAAGACAGATCTACCAAATTATTACCCCTACTTCATAAACAAAATTACAATAATAAGATTGTGCTTTGTATCCTTCTTTCTTAAACATTTTTTTCTTTAAATGTTAGCACAGATAGGTTAAATGATGACATCTGAATAATTGGGTGACAGACCTGTGAAAGGTTGTAATAAAAGAATTGGATTGGAGTTGAGAAAGCAAATTTCAGTTTGGGTTCTTACAGACACTAGTTGTGTGGCCTTGTGTAAATTTTGTAAAGTCTCTCAGCCTGTGCCTTCATATCTGTAGTGAGCGCACTGATCCCAACTCTGCAGGTTTGTTGTGAGGATTAAAGACAGTGAATCTAAAGCCTATGGCCCAGTAGCTAACAGTGCTGTAATTAGGCAGGCTTTCATTTCGTCACCCTTGCAATTAGGTCCCTAGGCCCTGATACCCTGTGGTTCTGGTCCTAGATGTGGCTATCCCATCCTCTTTACCATATGCCTTTACAGAAGCTTGATTTCTGTTTCCAAATGTTAACCAGTTGTAGCTTGTAATTTTATAAAATTACACACATTGTTGGGGTTTAGAGTTGCAGTAATAGATGACCATTAGAAAGTCCATATAGGGCATTTTGGAGGTCTGTAAGTTGTTTTATTTTTCTCAGTTGATTCGGAATTGGCAAAATTAAAAATACATTTCAAAAAATAGTATTGCCCTAAATGCTTTTTAATGGAGAGATAATTGGATACTTATGATTGGTCATTGTTAATTCTAGGTGTTGATAATGAACTCTTTTCAAAATCTAGAGCAAAGGAGCCTGGCCAGGGTAGGAATAATTAGGCCAGCGTCCACACTGGCCCCACGTAACCTTAGGACTGTGTTGTTTTTTCATCACTAAGCTTGAGTTTAACTTTTTATTTAATATATCTAGTCACCTGAGTACTCAGTAGTAGAACCACCTTGCACTTGCCTGCTTTTTGAACCCTGCAGAATGAGTTTTAAGAGCATGCTTTATGTCTATTTTATTCAAAAACTGTTTTCCTTTTTAAAGAAATGTAATTTCTGAACCATTAGTAGAGATTTCATTATTCTTTTTAAAACCATAAGAGTAAAAGGGAAACAGGATATATAGTCTCTTGGGCAAAGTTCAGCTCATCATATACTCAGCATGTTGCCTGATTTCTCCTCTCAAATGTATCTTTATGGCCATGGTAGAGATACTGTCTTATGACCCATGGTTGCTAATGCTCATTGCCCTGCCTAACCTGTAGGCCCTCCTTGCATGGGAACATACACATGGAAAACACTGTGAGTATTTTGGGTTATTTACTTACGGTAAAAGCCTGCTAACTTTGTGTTTTAGAAACATTTGGTAGAACACATGTATTTGTATCTTCTACATAAATACACTTGGTGATTGCCAATTTTAAAAAACTAAGGAAACATTTAGGATTGTTCATATTTAATATACAGCATCAACAAATTAATATATTTTGTCTTTAACTTGCAAAGACAAACACATGTGGCCTTCAGGTGCTGTTCCAAATGTGGAGAATACCACCAGCTCCTTTCTTTTACTGCCCATGAGGCATTTTATAGGTTAAAAGGAGCTCATACCAGTCAGTGAGCTATCTCCACCGTGGACTCTGTACTTGATGGTAGCAGTAAGAACACCCTACCTTGGTAGCATGACAGGCTCCTAAAGTATATTATCATATATCATCCTTACATCATCCCTGTCAGGCAGGGATGGTTTAGATGTTTTTATGGCTCTAATGAAGATGGAGAACTGATGTTGCCGCAGACAGATAAAATGATTTGCTCAGGGTCACTCAGCCGGTCAATGGCAGAGATAATACTGGATTTGGGTCGTCCCTGTCAACTGGGCTTCTCTACGAAGCCGAGAGGATTCTTATAAGATGAGGGTAGTCATTAGTGTTTGGGGGATGGATGTTTTGCCCAATTTCTCTTTTTAAAAAATAAACTTTTAAATTTAGAATAGTTTCAGATTTACAGAAAAGTTGCAAAATTAGTACAGAGAGTTCTCATATGCCCAACATTGTTTCCCCTACTGTTAACATATTGTATTAGTTTGGTGCATTTGTCACAGCCAGTGAACCAGTATCAATACAGATTGCCTTTGTTTTTACCTACTGGCCTTTTAATGTCCAGCCTCCCACCTAGGACAGCAGGTCACATTTAGTCATCATGCTTCCTCAGTTTCCTTGTGGCTCTAGACAGGCGTTTATTAAATTTCCCTTAATTGGGATCTTTCTGATGTTTTTCTCATGGTTAGACTGGGGTAATGGGTTTTGGAAGGAAGGTGGCAGAGGAAGGTGCATTTTCATCACATTATATCAGTAGGTATTATCACCATGACTTATCCCTGTTGATGTTGCCCTTGATCATCTGGCTGAAGTAACATTTGTGAGGTTTCTCCACTATAAAGTTACTTACCCCCCCCCCCAATACTGTACTCTTTGGAAGGAAGTTACTATGTTCAAACCATGTTACCTGGATGGGGGAGTATATACATAAACTAATTGAAATTTTTCTGAATGGGAGACTCACCTACTTCTGTCAGTGCAGCAAATCCTCCTCTACACTGTTTTTTTCTTATGCCTGTCATGTGTGAAATTGTGGCTGGAGGAGATGGAGTCATAGGTAAAAATTCACACCGGTTCTGAGTTCATTAGATGTGGTTAAGAAAATGTAGATGCTGCCTCTGCAGCAGTGGAACAGGGGACCCTGAGAGAATAAAACAGCCCCCAGGTGATTAATTACCCTTAGAGAGCCCGGGAGGTTTGTTGCAAAGTGCAGGGAAAGGGTGGTGTGGTAATAAATTATAAGTGTGAACTTCAGTATAGGAAGTACAGGTACAGAAAGGACAACAAAACTTTGGAATTTGTGAAAAACGGTGTCACTGAGCTTATACATTCCCAGCATTTCCTGGATATGAAACCATCTCCCATCTCCTAAATATGAAACTTGCCATTTATAATGTCATTTAGTTCCAAGCTAAGGAGGGTCATACAGATGTTTAAAAATGAGTATGATTAACTATTTCTTCTTGGTGCTCAGTTTTTAGACCATTCTGGCTCAGTCCACATTTTCTCTTCTCTCTCCACAGAACTCGATCCGGCACAACCTGTCGCTGCACAGCCGGTTCATGCGGGTCCAGAATGAGGGGACGGGCAAGAGCTCTTGGTGGATCATCAACCCCGATGGAGGGAAGAGTGGGAAGGCACCCCGGCGGCGGGCCGTCTCTATGGACAACAGCAACAAATATACCAAGAGCCGTAGCCGCGCAGCCAAGAAGAAGGCAGCCCTGCAGACAGCACCTGAGTCAGCAGACGACAGTCCCTCCCAGCTCTCCAAATGGCCTGGCAGCCCCACGTCTCGCAGCAGCGATGAGCTGGATGCATGGACGGACTTTCGCTCGCGCACCAATTCCAATGCCAGCACAGTTAGCGGCCGCCTGTCGCCCATCTTGGCAAGCACAGAGCTGGATGACGTCCAGGATGACGACGCCCCGCTTTCCCCCATGCTCTATAGCAGCTCAACTAGCCTCTCGCCCTCTGTGAGCAAGCCATGCACCGTGGAGCTGCCACGGCTCACCGACATGGCAGGCACCATGAATCTGAATGATGGCCTGGCCGACAACCTCATGGATGACCTGCTGGATAACATCCCACTCCCACCGTCCCAGCCATCCCCCACCGGAGGGCTCATGCAGCGGAGCTCTAGCTTCCCATACACCACCAAGGGCTCCGGCCTGGGCTCTCCAACCAGCTCCTTTAACAGCACGGTGTTTGGACCCTCATCTCTGAATTCCCTGCGCCAGTCTCCCATGCAGACCATCCAAGAGAATAAGCCAGCTACCTTCTCTTCCATGTCACACTATGGCACCCAGACACTCCAAGATCTGCTCACTTCAGACTCACTCAGCCACAGCGATGTCATGATGACCCAGTCAGACCCCTTGATGTCTCAGGCCAGCACCGCTGTGTCTGCCCAGAACTCCCGCCGGAATGTGATGCTTCGCAATGACCCAATGATGTCCTTTGCCGCCCAGCCTAACCAGGGGAATTTGGTCAATCAGAACTTGCTCCACCACCAGCACCAAACCCAGGGCGCTCTCAGTGGCAGCCGTGCCTTGTCGAATTCTGTCAGCAACATGGGCTTGAGCGATTCTAGCAGCCTTGGGTCAGCCAAACACCAGCAGCATTCTCTTGTCAGTCAGTCTATGCAAACCCTCTCGGACTCTCTCTCAGGCTCCTCTTTGTACTCAACCAGTGCAAACCTTTCTGTCATGGGCCATGAGAAATTCCCCAGCGACTTGGACCTGGACATGTTCAATGGGAGCTTGGAATGTGACATGGAGTCTATTATTCGTACTGACCTCATGGATGCTGATGGGTTGGATTTTAACTTTGATTCCCTCATCTCCACACAGAATGTTGTTGGTTTGAACGTGGGGAACTTCACTGGTGCTAAGCAGGCCTCATCTCAGAGCTGGGTGCCAGGCTGAAGGATCACTGAGGAAAGGGGAAGTGGGCAAAGCAGGTCAGTGCCCAATGCTATGGCATAATAATAACCATAATGTGGGGGTGACTGGGGGAAGCTGCTTTTTATTTAGTTTGAACTTTACTCCACATTGAGAAACTGAGAACCAGGAAGCAATGGTGCACAGTAACATGGTTCCCAACCAGTTCATCTCCGAGGTTTACCTGCAAGACAAATAGGGCTGTCCGGTGCCCCTCCCCACAATTTGCTGACAGCTCTGGAATTTTATTGCCAGTAAAAAGAACACACACACACATTCATAGATATCATTCTTCTTTGTATCCAGTCGCCCTTGCTGACCTATGACGCAGGTTCCCCTCTTTGGTGGACGGATGAGGGTAGAAGGGAAGGGGAGGAAGGCAGGACCTTAGGTCACACAAACTTCAAGGTTAAGGACCCAGCCAGAGGACTTTCTTAGACTCTCCAGTCCAACACTACCATTGTTGATCTTTGATGTTATAATTTCATCTTCCTTTCCATGAAAGTAATGATTTGCAGGCACTTCTAATTTGACTGTAGACTATGGATTCTGGACTCTTTCTTACATGAATATTTCTACCAGAAGCAAGATGTTAGATTCTTCACCATAGTACTAAGCATCTTTATAAGTTAGCATTGAGCATCTAAGCATTTAAAAGAGCAAAAGAATTAAATTGAAAACAGAAGTTTTTATGTTAGAGCACTCACGTGCTTCTTGTTCCCCAATGTGTAAATGATGTCAGGTTCCAAACAGAGTGACATGGGCTGTATAGTGACAGAGATGTTTTTAAATTGTGGCATTTTTAATACTGTTGGAACCAGAAAGATCACGCAACATGATGTGGTAAGAAAAGCATTTGGTTGGAATCAGAAGTTGAGTGTTCAGTCCCGCTGCTTCTACTTCCTGGCTGCTATTGAGTGTGTGTCAGCTCCTGAGCCTCAATTTCCAGTTTTATAAAATAAGGCTGATAGCCCTTGTTACAGGGTTATTGCAAGAATCAAATGCACTGAAGTATGTGAGAGTGCTTTGCAAAACTGTAGTGGGCTGAAATGTGTATGGTATAAATTAGGTAAGCACACTGACTGACAGATAAATAGTAAGCAGGGAGTCCAGAGAGGTTAAGTAGTTTGTCCAGGGTCACACAGCTGGACTCAGAGTCCATATTTCTTGAATGGCTTGAACAGTAATAGTTCTTTATCATTTTATCTAGATAGTAAAAAATGAGAAGTGCTTTGAACTAGAGCCAGAGTAGCAGATAATAGACCAGCTTGTCCTGAAATTCTCCTCAAGTAAGATGAGACCTGAGGCCTTCTACTAATAGGTTTGCACCCCAGACCCCATGTTGAAGAGCTCTGCTCTGTGCTTCAGCTCCTTTTAATTTTTTTAAATCTCAGCTTCTTACAGCCTCCTTTAAGTGGTGTAAGAGAAAAATGGGATTCAAAGTATAAAAACCTGAGCCTTGTTTAACCCTCTGCCCTGGTGTAGGAATTACAAGGGTCTCCTATGGTGAGCTCACTCCAGCTCATGAGTAGTTATAGAAAGGGGAACGTCAAGAAGGTTGTGATGCTAAAGCTAGCTTCTCAGCTTTCCCAGGCATACGCAGGCCCCTCATGGAACTCAGACATCTGTTTTCACTCATTTAATAGCCAGTAAGATAGTAAAAAGACTATTATGGGAGCTAAAGGGGGTGACACACTTTCATGCCAGCCGGTTCAGATCATACCAGAACTCAGATGGTAGAGACTTGCCTTGAGAAATTTGGATACTTGGCTTTTAGAAGAATAAACAGTTTGTCTTCCTTTAAGAAGAGGAATGCGACTGTGGCTTCAAAAGACACAAGAAAGTTTTAATTTTGATGTAGTTATAAGGAGGCCACTTTCTAGTTCATTAAAGTAAGTTCAGAAGAAAATGCACTATCTTTTTTTTTTTTTTGGTCTGATTTTTTTCAGTGTAGATTTTCCTTTGAGTTGAATAGCGGACCTTTCTTGTCTATGTATAATTCTAAAAGATTGTATGAAAATATTTTAAGGGAGATTTAAGTACTTAAGTTTTTAAAACAGTAATGAATTATTATTTTGATAATAAAAAACTACTTTTGGGATAACACATTTTATTTTGTCCTAATGGAACTTGAGGATCATTTAGTCACCCTTTTTTTAAGAACATTTTGGGGGAGATAGTTTTGAGAAGATATTTCTTCAGTTAAAAATGGAAAATCACCAAATTTCCCTGAAAGTAAACTAGCTCAGAATGACCAGAGCAAGAGAAGAAACATCATAAAGACAGTATGGGGGAGGGGGGGAGATTGAGGGGGTCTAGTTTCTGGGTTTAGCATTTCCATTTTGCGTTGAAGTGAATTGCTCCAGACAGCCAGGAGCATGTGTGGCATGATGTATGTTCTTTACTTTTAAACTTGAGGCTATCACTTTATTGAAGATTCCTAAATTCACAAAATAGGCCTGAGGTCACAATGTCAGGCCTTACCTCATCCAAATAAAGCACCCAAGCTTCCCAAGGGTTGTTCTATAATGACTTATTTAAAATAGAAGTCATGGTATTCTCCAGACTCAATTCCTGACTTGCTTACTGAAGGTCATGTGAGCCTGAATTGGAGCTTCTTGTTAACAGAGCCGTTGGCCCACTCTACAGCCATGCTGGAGAACTGTGGTGACATGCTTCTATGGAGGGCTGGGTGTTTCACATATGTTGTTCATTTTAGGCCACATGTAAAATGTTTCAACCTATGGGTCTATCTGGAAAAGAAAAACAAGAACCACTCCTTTTCGTGTGCCAGCTACTGGGGTCTGAAGGGCATTGTCCTCTCTCAGACACTCACAAGGCTTGGTGGAGAAACGTGCATATTGGCAGCACAGGTGTCTGTGAGCGGCTGTAGTGGTTGCAAAGCTGAGCTTCGAATAAGCCCTCCGGAGTTTGACATGTATCTGCTCTAGGAGGGAAAGCAGCATCAATCTCACTGTAGTTCTGATGTCAAAAGATGCCTAATTTCACAAACTCTTTCATTCATCTTCATTTTTTGGCATTTGAATACGCCCATTAGGAGCCCAGCATTGAATTTTGTTTGGAACTGCTTCATGTTAAGGATTAGAGAATATCAACTAGGAAAAGGCCAGGTGAAGAGGAGAAGGGTGGTTTTCTTTCACTAATGAATCTCTTAGAATTGTTGTCAAAAAAGGACAGAATCACAGAGTTTTAAAGGTGCAGTGTATGTATAATTTTAAACCTGAAACCTAACATATGTCTGAAATGGTTCTAGTAAGAGGTTCATGACGATACAGAAATGGAAATAAACAGCGGTAAACCAGTGTGGAAACAGCAGGTTCCAGTGTTGGAGGCCATGTAGAAATTTACATTTAGGCTACTTTTGAAAAGGAGCAAACCTTCGATACTTGGAGTTAACTTTGAATGCTGTGATTCTATTACGTCTTTATTTGTGTTGAGAGACAAGACTAATTCTAACCAAATACAGGCAATATAGGATATTCATGTCATTTTTTTTCTTGATGTAGGTGTTTCTGTGTCAGGGAATGTAGTACATGGTAAATATGAATCTGTACGTATTGCACAGAGAATACTCTCTGTTTTTTGCACTATTGCTTTAGTCTAGTCTTCGGTTATAGTGTGCCAGCCTCAAGAACTCTGCATCTGCAGGGCTCTTCATTCTTACCTGTTAAAAAGCCCCAAGTCTGAAGTGTCATTGATGGAGAGAATGGCTGTCTGGATCCTTTTGACAGTGGATCTTGTTGACAGCAGTAAAGGGAAATTGACACAGCTGTGAAAAGGGGTTTTCTGTGCAGAAGCTGCTACACTCCTTCCATACAGTCATTTCCCTGGAAAGCAGGGACATCAGCACGAAGGCTGCTCGTCCTGAGTCTGTTAGTTTTTCCCTGTACCTGTAGTTACCTCTGGCCAGCCTGCTAAGCATAGGGACAGAGTCTGCGTGACTCTCACTGCAAGCAGTTGCTGCATTTATAAGTGGCTTTCTGGAAGGTCTCTCTTGGCCACAGAGCTTATGTGGAACATAAATAAATGGGGCGAAAGTCACCAGAATTGCTACTGGAAAGTCTTGTAAACTTTAAGCTCCCATTAAGTGCTTCTTTTTAGAGTGTTCATAATGCTCAGTATTCAACATCTAATAAATAACATTTCATAGCAGAGCCCCAGGGACAGCGAGCTGAAGTGGGTGGCTGGCTTGTGTCCAACTGTGATGAGCCCACTCTAGAAATCAAGCATAAACCAAAGCAAGCATCCTGAGGGCTTTTTACAGAAACCAGCATCTGGATTTAGTCTGAACTCTGGCCTGTTAGTATGGAGCTCCTGAAGTACTAGGGCCTCTGTTTTTATCACCTAAAGACAGACCATGTGATAATGGAATAGGACATTTGAAAGCAAGGTTGTCCCAGAAAACCAAGCATGTAAGGTTGCCACATACCCTTGGGTCCTTTGCTTCAACCTTGCAGTAAGGCTGTCTTTTCCTCTATGACAAATGGTCACCGCCACCACCCCACCACCTTCCCAACCAGGCCATGCATTTCTTGGGGGTGGGAGAACATCTCTTTTGTTTATCTCCATCTTCTGTGCCCAACACACTGCAGGTACTCAATAAACGAATTTTGTTTAATGCATTCAGGCTTTTCTTGAACACTTGTACCAATATGGGACCTACCATTTTGCCAGGCAGCTCATTCAACAGTAGAACCCACTCCATGGCTGAGAAGAGCTTGCTGTACGACAAAGGCATACAAAAAATTCAGTAAGAATAGAGGGCCAAAAGGCCAAGAGTCCATAGTTCTCAAGGGGGTTGTTGACCTTTTTCAGCAATACTCTAGGGCAGGATTTCTTTAGGGCTTCCTTAGAATACTGGTCCCACGGTTTCTTGAAGAGAAGGAATTTGATTTAAGGGATCCAAGAAGCAGGACAAACCTGTTCCTGAAACACACAACCCTGTGACGAGCTCCTGTGCCCTTGGTTGCAGGTGTTTTGTTTCATTTATTTATCTTCC